GTGGCTACAATTAGATAGGATAATGAAGCACATTAGGAGTTGCATTACATCTATCTCTAATTGCCTTTGTTTCATTAATGCAAAAATAACATTCTTAAGGCGTTAATATTTTCTGGACTCATCTCTGAGATATAATGGTCCTTTTTCTAGATACCCATGCTATCAAATATTTAATTTTTTCTTCATTATTTCATGTTGTATGTGCATATGTATGTATGTGCTTATTGTGTGAATAGGCTAGGCTTTAATCCTTAGATTGCTCCATACTGAATTCTGAAAGTCACAGTAAACCAGTTTGTACATTAGAACCCAGATACTGGTGATGGTTGAATTTGGGATATTTAAGCTTGAAAGCTTCAGAACTGGAATCAGACCCAGACAGAATGATGTTATAGTGAATAGAACAGAGAATCACTTACTCAACAGTGATATTTCCTGTCCCCTGTCTACTTTTTTTTTTTTAAAGATTTTATTTATTTATTTGACAGACAGAGATCACAAGTAGACAGAGAGACAGGCAGAGAGAGAGAGGGAAGCAGGCTCCCTGCTGAGCAGAGAGCCCGATGTGGGACTCGATCCCAGGACCCTGAGATCATGACCTGAGCCGAAGGCAGCGGCTTAACCCACTGAGCCACCCAGGCACCCTCCCCTGTCTACTTTAACTGAATTCCTGATTCTCTCGGAGTAGGGCTCCACATCCCAGGTAATTGTTTTTGTATGTTAACGTTTGAGAAATTCAGAAAAGTGACTTTTAGGCAATTCTGTTCTCAAAGTATAATGTTCTTTGAATAGCATATATCAATTATTTTCATATTTGCAGGAGGAAATACTAGTATGATGTGGAATTGGTTTTTATCACCAATTATTGCTTTTCCATGCAGTTGGGAAATACTGAGCTAGCAAAGGTAGACAGAAAAGTAGCACATTTATCAGATATAAGTAGCAGCTAAGACTGGTGATCTGTGGTCTCAGAGGTTTCAGCTGTAACATGGAAAGTGAGACAGTCACCTAATACATTATTCATACTTAAGTAACAGTGTTATTTGAGATATTTTAAACTCTTTGAGGTCACAAAACAAAACATCTTTGCAATAGTTTGACCAAATGGTAAGATTACGCTCCTTGAAAGGAAATTAGGACACTGTATAAAGTTAAATATGAAAACATCTTTCTCCTTTTCTCCTCTTTTCCATGATGAGGGGTATACCTTTGTTTATTAAGTTCCGGGTGTATTCTTCCAGATGTATATGTATTTACATATATTTGCTTATGTGCTTACATATTTTAAATATTGATATATACAAACAGATTGCCTTTCTTCTCTCAAAGGCTATAACAATTTAATTTCTCATCTTTGTGGGATATTGTAGCCTTTAATAACTTATGAATAGGATAGGGAACACACTTTAACTATTAATGAATTTGAACATCTTTTTTTTTTTTTTTTTTTAAGATTTTATTTATTTATTTGTGAGAGAATGAGCGTGAGCATGAGCAGGAAGGAAGGGCAGAGGGAGATGGAGAGCAGGTTCCCCACTGAGCAGGGAGCTTGACTCAGGGGTCTAGACCCCAGGATCATGACCTGAGCTGAAGGCAGACACTTAACTGACTGAGCCACCCACATGCTCTGAACACTTTTTTTTTTTAAACATGTATTCTTTTTTTGCATTTCTTGTGATTTGCTTTCTGATTTTCTTTGCCCATTTTTAAATTCGGTAGTTAGGTTTTGTTTCGTTTTTAAATTTATTGGAGTTCTTTGTATCCTATGGATATTTAGTCTTTTGTCTGTTACATGACAGAGTAACATTTATTTATTAGCTTTTTTAATGGTGTAATGATAACTAAAATTTTTCTCTGTACCAGAAATTCTTATGAGTCCTTTATGTGTATTTCTTCATTTAATCTTCACTCTCGTGCTGTCTGCTTTATGGACGAGGGGACTGTGAGGCAAGAAGGTTAAATAAGTTGTTTGAACACATGCCACTAAGTGGTAGAGCCAGGATTTGAATCTAAAAAGACTAATTTTAAAACTGTTATATTTAACCTTTATATTTTATCTTTACTTACCAAGTTTTTTAAATATAAAAAACTAAAAATTTCAAATTTTTATTTTTTTTAAGATTTTATTTGTTAATTTGACAGAGAGAGAGAGATCACAATTAGGCAGAGAGGTAGGCAGAGAGAGGGGAAAGCAGGCTCCCCGCTGAGCTGAGAGCCCGATGCGGGGCTTGATCCCAGGACCCTGAGATCATGACTCGAGCTGAAGGCAGAAGCTTAACCACTGAGCCACCCAGCTGCACCAAATTTTTTTTTTTAAAGTTAAAGATCTTTAATGATTTTAATACAAATATTCCTTTAGTAATAGTAACACAGACGTGTACAGATATATACACACACACTTACGTAGTTGGTAAATAGATGTAGTACTATAATATATTAATACAGATATTTCATACACTTTTAGGGACATGTGTCCTGTTTCTATTTAGAACTGACCTTCAGTAGCATATTCCTTTATTTTTTTCTATTGATTTTCATAATAATCTGTTAATTTTCCTGTTGCCAATCATTTTGCTTTAATCTATCCTCAACACTGTTATTGGAATAATCATTTTAAGTATGGTTTTGATCATGTTACTCACTCCTTTGGAAACTTTCAGTGGTATCACATTTCTTGATGAATGAAGGCCAGGCTCTTTCCTTAATGGGGCATTTGAAGACTTAATTAATTCTGTTTCATCTTTACCTTTCAAGAATTACCGTAAGGAAATTTTTTCTGTTTAGAAAATTTAGTCTACTCGCTATGACACAGTATCTAATATACTAGTCTTTGAATCCTGTGGTTCAGGTTCAGATTTCCATGGCACCTTGTTCACATGCATATGTGAATGACATAATGCAAAGCACTGTCATTTCTTGAATTTCTATATGATCTGACCTCAGCTGTGGTAGACTGGTTGGAAAGGGGGCGAGAGAATCAAGCATATGTTTTTGGAGCAAAGTTTGCATAGCCAACAAAAGATTTTTCTCTCTTTAGATTGTGTATTGGGGCCGATGGAGATTGGGTGTGTAGAGCAGGACTAAAGTCCTGCCCCAGCCATCCTAGGGCACAGCCAGTGGTGCTAAGTATGGGCTTTTGCAATATCTGACTTTACTTGTTATATGATCTTGAGCAATATACTTAATTTTTCTAAATGTTAACTTCCTCCTTTGAGCAACTTTTCTTGATACTACATACAGCAGATAAACGGAATAATTTGTTTTTTTCTTTGGGAGTTGCGTTCTTCTGGCTTCATACTTGGTTCGATTTGTGTTCTTAATCTGCAGAAGCTTAATGAGGAATTTATTTAAAGGTGTTTAGTACCTCATAGAATGAGGTGGGGGGTGGAAGGTTGGAGAACCAGGCTTAAAAACTTACAGGTAGTTTCCCTCAGTTCACCTTTGAGAACCATCACTTCTCCAGCCCCACCAAGTACCAGTGCTGCCCAATTGCGGCCACTCTGGGCCAGACCTTGATTGACCACTGCTGGTGCTGTCACTGTGGAAGGCTAATGCCTCTGCTGTTGTTTGTACCAGCCAGAAATAGTAGCTCCATACAGAGCCGTTTTCTTATGTGACTCACTTCCAAACCGAGATCTTGTGCAGGTGTTTCTGAATGTCTACACTGTACGTAGTTGCAGAGTATGTTGGGAATCTGAGGTCTAAAATTAATTTTGGGAGATTAGACTTATAATGTGGGAATTACCCTGAGTATAAAAAGATTCTGCACAAGCTGATGAGAAGCTTGAGCATGATAAGTAAGTGTTCGCTATAGTACTTTTCTTGTGTTCTTCCATCTGTAAAATTTTTTTTCTTCATTTCCAGGTGAATAAATTCTGTGCTGGAGTTTCATTGTTAGTCTACCTGGCTCTTTCTCATCTGAGTTTTCTTATGGCCTTTTCATCATTTCTTTTCACATTATTTTATTTCTTTAGGACAACATCAAAGCTCACAAGTAGTATTAAACATACTCTAGTATGAACCAAACAGTATGGAAAAGTATAGAATAAACTTTGAAAGTTGCCTTTCACCACTCACCTCTTCTCCCCTCACACTTTCAATTATTATTGCCCTTTGACGTGTCCTCTGATAAAAATTTATAATCTTTAATTTTAATTTAACACATTTGATGATAATTTGTCACTTAATGGTAAGTTCATAGAAGAGAGAGGTCTTTATCTGTGGTTTGGGTTTCCATGGAGCCTACTAAAACTGTTACTATGTGTAGAAGAATAATATGTAAAGGCTTGACCTAGGGTAATAGCTGTGTCATCATTTTGGAAGTGAAGGCTTACAACTTAGGGGTTTGGTGAATATGCAGAGAAAGGTAACAGTCTTAGTAGACTCCAGGAGTTCTAGCTTGGGAAACATACCATTGAAGGTGCCATTTAAGGCATACTGGGAATGGAGAAACTACTCTGTGTCTGCAAGTATATTACTAGAGTGCTTTCTGATTATATTCCATTACTGCAGGATCTTCTTTACCCATATTTCTGATATGAATTAGAGTTTGGGGAGGTGCTATAATGTTTGAATATGGCATGGGTTTCCACAGTTTAGGAAAGACTGTGAAAAATAACCATTTTCTAGTAGAGTCATTTCTGAGGCTTCAGTGCTAGATGATGAATAAGACTTCCCAGTGGGGAGATGGATATTTTCTTTTGAAAAAGTAGCAATAATTATGTTAAATAGGGTGACTATAAACCTGTTTTCTAGTCGTTTGTCATCTGTAAGTAGATGGTAAATGGACATATATTTCATTATATATTCATTTTTAGAAAATAACATTTGAAAATGTTTGGTTTGTTTCAGATAAACATAATTATAACTGCATTTTGATAAAGTGTCACTGAAAAACTTGTGCTGGGAAACCATATTCAGATATTTGTTTTGGCATTTCACATTTAGCAAATTTTTTTCCCATAAATTATAACTAATTTGACATTGTTTTTTCTTTCCAGATCATTCAACTTCAAGTGGCACGTTATCTTTTAAGCCTAGTCGATCATTGGTTACTCTTCCTACTGCCCATGTCATGCCATCTAACTCCAGTGCTTCAGTTTCCAAACATAGGGAATCATTGACGACAGATGGCTCAAAATGGAGTGCAAGCCTCATGCAAACATTGGGAAACCATAGTAGAGGAGAGCAGGACTCTTCACTAGACATGAAGGACTTCCGGCCTCTACGGAAATGGTCATCTTTATCCAAACTCACTGCCCCGGATAACTGCGGCCAGGATAGCATTGTACATGCTGATGAGTCAAGGAGTGGTTTGGAAAAGACAGGGAGAGCCAAGGTTTTAATGTCTCAACTAAGAACAATTGGGCCTAGCTGCTTACATGATAGTATGGAGATGCTTAAGCTAGAGGACAAGGAAATAAATAAAAAACGATCATCAACTCTGGACTGCAAATATAAATTCGAGAGCTGTAGCAAAGAGGACTTTAGAGCTTCTTCCTCCACTCTTAGGAGACCGACCTTAGACATGACATACAGTGCCTTACCTGAAAGCAAGCCCATTATGACAAGTGCAGAGGCCTTTGAACCTCCGAAATATTTAATGCTGGGTCAACAGGCGGTAGGCGGAGTTCCCATTCAGCCTTCTGTGAGGACACAGATGTGGCTTACGGAGCAGTTGCGGACAAACCCTTTGGAAAGTAGAACTACAGAGGACTCTTACAGTTTAGCTCCTTGGCAACAGCAGCAAATTGAAGAATTTCGACAAGAAAATGAAACACCAGTGCAGGTAAGGCTCAAAATCTAGTGTGTGCTTCCCTCCAGTGGATGTTACGAGTACAGGAAGTAGCACACTTGCAGTAAGCATAGAACAGTGTCTGTCCATTAGTGCAGATTGTTTTGCTTTTCCTTTTTCCTTCAACTTACTAAGCATAAATGGTATAAACTCCCAAAGTACTGTTTTGATAAACAAAAGTTAAAAAATATTTGAGGCTGATTAAAATGAAAAACTTAAAATCTTGTACCGAACTTCGTCTTTACTTTCCTTCTCATTTGTTAAGTGAGCATAAAAATGAACAAAGCAACACATTTTCAATTTAAATGTAAAAGAGACAAAGGAACTGGCTTGGTATAGTAGAACATAAACTTGGGAGTATGAGGTCTTGGATTTTGTCTCTATCAGATTCAGAACCTGGATGATTTTTCCATCTGGGCCTCAGTTTCTTTTTCTGTTCTTCTATTTTTTTTTTTAATCAGTGAATAATTGACATATAACATTGCATTAATTGCAGTTCTACAACATAATGACTTGATATATGTATGTTTTGTGAAGTGATCACCACAATTAGTCTAAGTCTGGTCTGGTTAATGTCCATCAGCATATATAGTTTCAATTTTTTTTTCCTTGTGATAACTTGTAAAGTTTTGTCTCTTAGAAACTTTCAAATATATGGTAGTGTATTATTAACTAGAGTTATCATGGTGTACATTAAGTACATCCTTATGACTTGGAAGATTTTATCTTTTGACTTCCTTCACCCATTTTGTCCACCCCACCCTGGCTCTGGTAAACACCCGTTAGTTCTCTGTGATTTCTTTTCTTTTCTTTTCTTTTCTTTTTTTTTTTTTTAAGATTCTGCATGTAAATGTGATGATACAGTATTTGTCTTTGACTTCTTTCACTTATCACAGTGCCCTCAAGGTACATTCATGTCACAAATGGCAAGATTTCGTTTTGTTACAACTGAATAATAATCCATTGTATATATACCACATTTTCTTTGTTCATTCATTCATCAGTGGGCACTTAGCTTGCTTTCATGTCCTGACTATCGTAAATAGTGCTCCGGAGGACATAGGAGTGCGTATATCCTTTTGGGTTAGTGTTTTCGTTTCTTTCGGTTAAGTACCCAAAAGGGGAATTGCTAGATCATATGGTAGCACTATTTTTAATTTTTTGAGGAACCCCTCATACTGTTTTCCATAGTGGCTGCACCAATTTACATTCCCACATAGAGTGCACAAGGTTTGTCTTTTCTCCACATCCTTGCCAATACTTGTAATCTCTTGTCTTTTTGATCATGACTATTCTAACAGATGTGAGGTGATAGCTCATTGTGGTTTTGATCTGCATTTCCCTGATAGTGATGTTAGGCACCTTTTCATGGGTCTGTTGGCTAGCTGCATGTCTTCTCATTTCTTCGTCTGTGAAATGAGGAGGTGGAACTAAAGTATTTTGAAGTTTTGGTGGTGCTTGATAGATATTTAGGTTTATAAGCAAAAAAAAGATTAAGTTGGGTATCAGGATTTATTAATCAGGGGGCACCTGGGTGGCTTAGTCAGTTGAACATCTGCCTTTGCCTCAGGTCATGATCTCAGGGTCTTGGGATCGAGCCCCACATTGGGATCCCTGCTCAGTGGGGAGCCTGCTTCTCCCTCTCCCTCTACCTGCCACTCCCCTTGTTTGTGTGCACTCTTCCTCTCTCAAATAAATAAAATCTTGAAAAAAAGATACATTAATCAGTTTGAGGAAAGCATTTTATAAAATATCACATATAAATAAAAGTGGCATGTATCCCCTAAAGTAACATGTAAATATGTACATTTCTTGATGTGGAAATTTTTTTTTTCCAGAGTAATTTCCACAGCTCATTTTAACTGGGAAAGCAATTATCTGTAGAATTTTTTTATAAATCTTATCATCCATTTTTTATTACAAGAATTTTCTGAAACTAATTCTATCAGAAATTATAAAATTTCCCTTAGAGAAAACATTTAAAATTACTATTCATTACTGCTACTAATAAAAAATAGTAAAGATTAAAGGAATATATCCTATGAAAGTGTAAGGAGATCTAGAAACCTCGCAAATCTGAGTTCCAAAACATAAACACACCTGAATATGCTACATTTACAGGGGAATCCTGAACACATCCCGTGTACCTTCGGTATTCTCGTTTTGGGCACAGTACTGAACAATCTTGATTATATATAAAAACCACATAACCAAAAGGAAGCATTATTACGATGTTTGAAATACAAATCAGAGAAGAGCAATTTAACCAGATTTGTGATTTATCAGTTCAAGTGATTGAAAGATAGGAAACATAATTTTTATAATTTAAAAAAAAATCTTTTTTAAAAAAGATTTTACTTATTTATTTGAGAGCGAGCACAGAGGGAGAGTGGAAGGGAGAAGCAGACTCCCTGCTGAGTAGGGATTCCCAATGTAGGACTCGATCCCAGGACTCTGGTATCGTGCCCTGAGCCAAAGGCAGATGCCTAACCGACTGAGCCACCTGGGCACTCCAGAAACCTAATTTTTTTTTTTTTTTAAAGATTTTTCTTTATTTGACAGACAGATTGCAAGTAGGCAGAGAGACAGAGAGGGGGAAGCAGGCTCCCTGCTGAGCAGAGCCTGATGCGGGCCTCGATCCCAGGACCCTGAGATCATGACCTGAGCTGAAGGCAGAGGCTTTAACCCACTGAGCCACCCAGGCGCCCCAGAAACCTAATTTTTAAAATGCTGTTATATTTTAGTTCTCAAATGCTCTGTGATTATATGAGAACAGAGATCAGGCAGTTATTTCTCCAGCTGGTATGTTTGCACAGAATTGTAGTTGTCCATGGGGTGCTAAGTAATAATATTCCAACCTGAAGGTGTGATAGAAAGATAACTGAGCAAATTGGATGAATTTAAGGGAGTGAGTACTAATTTACTTCTTTTACTCTACTTGGAAAACCCTCTGCTTTGGAGTTTTTCCTAACCTTGAAGCTATGCAAAGAGGGTAAGAAGCTTGGAGGTGCACTGTAGAGCCAAACTTATATTTAAATCTTCTGCCTAGTACATGATAGAAGAAGAAGGTTACTAGAGGACAACATTTGCACACACCCTGGTGTGTCCTGCTTTTTGATGAACCATATTTGAAAGGGTCTCTTTGTTGTGCTCCTAAGTGCTGTAGTAGAGAGATGAAAGCAGGTAAAGAAAACTGAAGACCCTTCAGTTGCTATGTTTAAATGATCCCTTCTCTTCTCATTCCCTTCTTGGACTATTACAGAAAACAGTTCTTAAATACCTTCTCCTTGGAGCCTCCAAGTGCTGTCTTTATTATAAAAGTTCTTATCTTAGTTGTTTCTTAAAAGACCTTTTAAAGAATTGACTTCCTTTTTGTCTAATTTTTACATAAAGGAAAGAGCCATAGTAAGGATCAGACCATCTGATAAATTGTGAGAATGTGTATGATTTTCAGGCACAACTCCTAAACTCTCACCATGAAAGAAGCCTCTCTCTTTACAACCAAGGAAAGGCATTTGGCAGAGTCATAATCTAACACCACCATAGATTTATATAGAACCTAGTAGCTCTCAGAATTGTTTATCTCATTTGATCTGCACAGTTTCTTTCCCTGCTTTTCTCCCCCCAAAGGTTAATATTGTAATGTGGAAGCTTGGCTCTTAGGAATAATTATTGAGTCAGCTTCATAGTCACATGCTCATGCTATTCCTGGATTCCCATGATTTCCTACTAACTCAGCTAGAATGCAGGTAGAGTAATACTCTGAAACATTTTCCTTTGTAAATGAAGAGAGGCTATCTATGCCTTTAGGTGGTTAGAATATAGACCTCCATGTGCAAACTGTCTTTGGGTCTTTCCTCTGTTCTGTGTCACCCCTCTCCTCCCACCTTCCCCAAAACCTTTCTGACTCTACAGCAGAAAAGACAGAGCACCAGAGTCTTGCCTTCTCTTTGGAAAGAATGTATCCCTTACCATTTCCTTCTTTTATTTCTTTTCTGGAGGATGGGAGAATGGGGGAAGGGCATGCAAGGTGTATACCTCTACACACAACAGTATCCATTGGATTCCTTTAAGCTCACAGTGCATCTTTTCAGACAGAAGTGAGGAAGTGGTCTGTTTATTGAGGAAGTTGGTTATCTTCTTTTCTTTTACATTCCCTAGGATGTTTCTAAGTTCTGGGTTGCAATCATTTTTTAAAGAGAGGAAGATAAAATTTTGTACCCCACTTAAATCATGATGAGGCTTGTTCAGCCAAAATATCGACACCTAGTGATTTCAGCATATTTTGCTGAAAACTTTATATAAATCAAGAATGTAAATAAAAATTTGATAAAATGACTTAAATGACTTGGTTTTTGTTTAACATGATTAAAAAATGAAAAAGTTTTATTTTTAACATGAGAGTGTTTTATGTATTCTATTGCATACTCTGAAAAGAAATAGTTTTCTTGTTCTTATTTTTGTCCTTTTTTTTACTGTTTAAGATCTAACTGTGCACTGAAAGCTGTGAACCCTATGACACTCTAGATAGGATGTGACAATATGACACATTCACTTGGTAGTTAAAAAGCATTTTGTATATATGCTTTAATAAATTAGTAATACGTTTGACTTTTTTTAATCTTTCAACTTTTCTACATAGTATTGGCTTGTAATTTTATACATCAGAAGAGCAAATTAAAAAAAAAAAAAACAACTTACTGGTTTCTCACTTTGCCAGAAGACTAAAAAATAATTAGAGGAGAAATAAAATCTAAAGAGTAGAAAATTCATTATTTTATGTAGGTCTGCCCTCTTGTGTCTATATGAGGAAATCTTGATCTTACTTTGAGAAAAGTCACTCACTGAAAACAATCTACAAAACCAAAACTGCTTATATTGATTGTTTTATGGCCATATCAATCATGAGTTGTATTAAAAAGCAATTTCACTGAGTTCAAAAAGGTTCTTTTTGATATAGGTGATTTGCATTAAATAAATATTTTGAAACAACT